GCCTGTTGTGTGATGGTTTTGGTGAGAAGCTTCCTTACATCATGCCATAAATCTTGTTCCATAACAGGAGGTGTGGCTACAGCAAAGCAAAGCAGGACCCTGAAGAAGAAAAGATGCATTTTCATAATGGTCACAGTGAGTAAAGTTCAGATAATACGCTAGAGAACTGCGCGGCTTTCCAGTATTTTTGTCTTGATATGGTATAATACATAGCATTATAGTTCTATACTGTTTAGGGGCAGGCAGAACCAATGGGCTCACCTTCTCTGGCTTTTGGTAGAAAGTGGAATGGGTTTATTCCACTTTGCCAAGACGGCAAAATAGGTAGAACATGAGACTCTTAATATCAGGGTTGTGGGTTCGATTCCCACATTGGGCAAAGAGATCCCTGCATTGCAGAGGGGTCGGACTAGATGACCCTTGTGAACCCTTCCAGCTCTACAATTCCATGATTCTGCAATTCATTCCAGTTCGGTAAAGAGAAGATGACAGAATCTTACCCCTTGCTAGATCCAGTCCTACAGAGTGTATGTCTAGCACAGGCGAGAGGGCTGTATTAGCTTCACACTCTTCAAGGCAAGAGTGCAGGGAATAAAACTTCACATCTGCATTGTTGGCCTCCTTTTATTTCCAAAGCAGCACTGCTGTTCCAGAAATGCTTCATGCCAAAGCTGTGGATTTTGCTCCAAGTGGAATTCTGCCCCAGCAAATGGGCTAAATATCCTAAATAATTCAATTAATATTTTTACAGTGTTGCAGATATACTGGGAAGGGCAGCCATGACCCTCCAGTTTATTTTAAAAAACAACAAAAAATGGCTAAAATAATTGGATATCGAAAGTGTTTCCTATTAGAAAGTTCCCAGGTGAGAGCTGGGAGGTAGTGTGAGACTTTTGAGAGAGGCCTCTGTGTTTTCTTTGTTCTTTTTCCGTTCTTGTTTTCATTTCAGTTAGTTTCTTTAATTTTATTGTATTATGAAAAAGATTTGATGAAATATTTTCTTTTCTTTTTTAAGCATTTCGTATTAGATGGAAATGGTTAGAGATTAAAGAGCAGCTCCAGGATCTGATTAAAAACCAGCTCCGGAGTCTCTTGTTTTGCGTCTTGAGGCCCCAAGCCAGCCCCCTGTGAAATAACTACACACGGACACAGAGTTAAGGTTGATGGGTAATGTTAAGGCCACAACTTTATTGATTGCAAATTAAATGTGAGTGGTATTGACATAGGCATTGGCTGAAGACTATAACTGACTACTGCCCCAGTTGACAGAGTCTATGTAGGAAAATCCATTGGGGCAACAACATTGGGGTTTTGCCCGACAGAAGCTTGCCACGAGGTTCCTGTGATCCCGGCATGGCCCTAGCTCATCAAGCGGACTTCGGACAAGATCCGGGACCCCCAGATTCCTTTAATGGAATACCTTTCAGGGTTGATGGCCACACCTCCCCTCCACACACAAAATTAAGCCAATGCCTAACCACCAAACCTGGAAAGTTGTGACGATTGCTAAGGGGGTAGGGAAAAAAACCAAGTGGCCAGTGCCAATTTGCCAAATGGATAAAAATTCCTACCCAGCCCCTGTCCCAAGATAGGCAACTCACACATAGTGCAAAGCAAGGCTTAGAACCTACACTAAGGGCAGGAGGGCGGGTGTTCAGCAGCGCCAATCAAGAGCCTAGGGCACTCTTGCGCTGATGCTTATATAATTCCTTAACCCCACCCCCACCCCTTTCTTGATTGGCTGTGACCTGTGATGCCTATTTAGAGAAATGAAACTTAGACCTAGAAATGAAACCCACCATAGATTCCGGCATATAAGATGACTTTTTAACCCCGGAAAAGAGGTTAAAAAGTCGGGGGTCGTCTTATACACAGGGCATGGAGCAGAGCCCGACCCCCGCGCTGCTTCGGAAACAGCAGCAGGATGGCTTTCTCCTGGCACGGAGTTGCTCAGCATATTAGGCGACTGGACCTATAAGACGAACCCTCAAATTGCAGCTGACAATTGGGGGGGTCGTCTAATACGCCCAGTCGCCTAATACACCGGAATCTATGGTACTTTGTCAGGGGTGTGTCATCATCATCCTTTTTATTCGACCGTCAGTCAGAAAAAAGTACATTTTATCAATACACAGTTAAAAACATCCAGGAAGATTTTAAAACTTAGCCAACACTAAAATGGGCTAAACAGATAGCCCCATATCAATACAGTCAATTATAGTCTTGCGACGCTTAAAAGCTAAAAAGAGAAATTTGGCCACCAAGGAAGGTATAGTCTCTAGTGGCGTTATTCAGCAAGTGTAAAACCTGGTTTTCTCCGGGTAGGAAGCTGAATTGACATAGGAGAGGGTCTATAAAATTTTGTCTAAGCTCTGCATAAGAAGGGCAAGGTCAGGGGTATGTCCAGGGGCCCAGTTGCAAGAAGGACCGCCTTCTGAGGATGATCCCATTTCTAGCAGTGCTGTACTTACCAAACAAACAAACAAACAAACAAACAAATAACAGGAGGCCTGCAGTGCAGGTGTGATGTACCTTGAAGCATGTGAAGCAGGGATCTTGTGCAGACCCCCTTATAACTATCCAAAAGCTAGAGGAGTCATGTTTTCTGCAACATTTTTTCAATAATACCACCTTTGTGACTTTGAACTTTATACAGTGGTGCCCCGCAAGACGAATGCCTCGCAAGACGGAAAACTCGCAAGACGAAAGGTTTTGCGGTTTTTGAGCTGCTTCGTAAGGCGAATTTCCTATGAGTTGCTTCGAAGACGAACGTCTTGCGAGCTTGTTTCTTTGAAGCGGGAACTGGGCTGGCAGGGAGCGAGCGAGGGAGCGACCTACCTTTTCCAGAGGGATCCTCTTCTGGAGAGGGCACAGAGGAGGCAGGTGGGCTGGGATCCAGCGGATCTGGCTGGGTCTCTGCGCCGCCTCTGCCTCTCTCTCTCTCTCCCCCTCCCCACATGGCTGCTCCATTTTGCCCTAACTGCGCGAAGGCAGGAGGAGGCGGGACAAAGGAGGAGGAGGAGGAGGCATCCACTGCGCTTGGGCCGCCGCGAAGGTGCCTTTGCGGGGGTGGGAAGAAGCTGGAGCAGCTGCCGAGACTGTGGGAGCCCGGCCGCGTGGGCAAGGTAACAGGGGAGCAAGGAGAGTCCGCGCCGGGCGCTCGTGTGTCCACCTCGGTTCCTGAGCTCGAACTTCCTTGGCACCTCGTGGAGAGAGTGGAGAGGAGCGGGCTGGGGCTTTGATGTGGGACGCGGTTTGGCGGAGCGAAGACGCGGCAAGGCTTGGCGACAGAGGAAGGGGGGCTGTTTCGTGGGGAGGTGGGAGGGGGTGTCTTGTGCCTCTTCCCAGCAACTAGATCCTCCAGGCTGGGAAACTCCTCCTGCTGGGAAGCGACCCGCTTGTGCTTTGCCCGCTATCCCATTATAATACAGTACCAGGGTGCATCCGTGCTTCGCAAGACGAAAAAATCCGCAAGACGAAGAAACTCGCAGAACGGATTAATTTCGTCTTGCGAGGCACCACTGTATTTAATTTTAAATCCGGTGGGGTTTGATAGCTAGGACTGCAACTCAGTTTGCGACATCTTAATGGGATAATCGTATGAATTTAAGTTGAACTATCCGTTAAGATTGCGTGAATTCGTATAGGGATAAAAAGAGTATTTCTGAAGCAAGAAGCATACTTACTTTGTTGCTGTTGTTTATAATGCATACATATATCACAGCAGACATCATCTTAGAGAAAGGGAGCAATGTCTCTTTTAAAATGGCGCTTGCCACCTGCAATTTTTATGAACGTTGGTATTAAAAATACAACCCCTTTATTAAAAATATATACCCTACCCGATTAATCGTGGTTCCCTTCGGTCTATTAAAAGTTTTTTTAATAAATTAATCAAATGAGTAATAGATTAAATATTGAAGCCCTGGTGTGCACCAAATGTTTCTTAAGTAGCTCATAATGGTATCGTTGTGACAATGATATGCAGTGCTCACATACTCCGTTTTGTAATTAGTAAAATACATTTCCCTTTGCACTAGTGTTCCAGCTTGTTCAATTTTCAGTTCTGCTGCTCGCCAGTACTTTTAACATATTAAACCCTTAATTTTATGCACAGTTAAATTACCAGGAGTGCGGACTTATATCGACCCACACACCTACGAAGACCCAAATCAAGCTGTCCATGAGTTTGCCAAGGAAATAGAAGCCTCGTGTATATCAATTGAAAGAGTTATTGGAGCTGGTAAGATTACCAATATCACCATTTACCCTTCACTCACGCTATTGCTGTAACACCAGGATTCCGTTTTTGCATTGTGCGACCAGGTGGTGACCACCCCAGCCCCCAGGGACCACCAGAAAGGAATAATGACTGCTGACAACGTGTTATGGAATTAAAATTTGGCCATAACTTTATTAAACTTCCGAATGTAGGAAGACCTTCCCTTAGGCCTTGGGCGTGTACCCCTCCCAGTCCTCCAGCCAGGGGAAACTGGGGCTCATCAGGGTAACTGGGATATAGGGGTGCTCTGCGAGACCTAAGTGTAGCAGGCAGCCCAGCCCGTATCTCCGCACGCAGGGTCGTTCACTGACAACCTTTCAGTGTATGGCCAGTGACACCCATATATATAACCCCTTTAAGAGGGGGACCCTGGAATCGCCGCCACGGGGGGGGGGGGTGAGTCGCCACTTCACGCCCCCCCCCATAGTAGGGTTACCAGATGTCCCCATTTCCCAGGGACAGTCCCCAGATTTGCGAATAAGTCCCTGGACAAATTCCATCCCCAGAACGTCCCCGGATTTCATCTAATGTCCCTGGGAAATGCGGCAGTCTCAGCAGCCTGGAGCAGTTGGCTCTGGCTGGCTTCAGGAGCTGCTCGGAAGTCCCCATATGATGGTGGTGCAGGGGGTCTCAGATGCAGCTTCCGGGCTGCCTGCACCATTCCCTGACCCCAGCAACTAAGCTGTGAAGGGAGGCTTCACGCTGCCTATCAGAGCTTGCGTGCAAGCAGGAGCGGGGCAGGAATCTCTCAGTTAGGCAACGAGAAGCCTTGCTTCCCAGCTGAGGGATCCCCACCCCCTCCTGCTTGCATGCAAGTAAGAATGGGATTGGGGCTGCTCCGATGGGAAGGGAGGCATCACGCTGCCTGAGAGATCCCTGGCCCCTCCTGCTTGCACGCAAGTAGGAGTTGGGATGGGGCTGCTCCTCAACGTGTAGTATTTATTTTATTTTATTTATTTATTTAAAGAGTCCCCGGTTTCATTGAAAAAAATCTGGTGACCTTACCCTATAGGCAAGAAAAGACTAAAGGCCAAGGCCTTAAACCGCCAAAGTTGTGACAAATTGTATAAAGACAAGGAAAAGTTTCTTATCATCCTTTTTTATTTCTATCTTTACTTGGATAATGGTGTTGTCCCGAGTGAATCTCCACCCTCCATCTCTCCCACTTCCTCATTCATCATCATCATCACCTCCTCTATGGGTGCTGCTATATGCCCTCTGTCTTTGAGTTCTTTGCTCTCCTACTTTTAAGGCTTGCCAGGTTCTGGGAGATGCTTTCTAATGACAACATGTCCGGCAGCTGTTCTGGCTCTCCCATGATTTCCCAACTTTTCCACTCATCTGCCTCTGAGCTGGTACCTCCCTCAAACCCCTGCTATAAATCTATATTGTCTTCCTCTTCCTCTTCTCTGGAAGGGTCAGGCTGTGAAGGCAGTCTCCACCATTCCTCCTCTGCCCAGTCCCTGAGAGAAGTATGGGTTTCACTGGCATCCCTATAAAAATGCAGCCTGAAAGTTTAGGCTCAAGTAATTGAGATGTATGTAGCTGAGAAGAAGAATGATCTCCATCACATGCGTTGGGAACAGTGAATTCAAACAACTGGTCGTACTGGGTTAACCAACCTCTTCCTTGGTTATGCATTGTGTGATCCTTACACGAGAATGGTCAGACAATAACCGGGAATGCTAACTTGGGGGTTGTTTTGTTCACAGGTGAATTTGGCGAAGTATGTAGCGGGCGATTGAAACCACCCGGAAAGCGTGAGCTACCAGTAGCCATTAAAACCTTGAAAGTGGGCTACACGGAGAAGCAGAGGCGAGATTTCCTGGGAGAAGCCAGCATCATGGGGCAATTTGACCATCCCAATATAATTCACCTAGAAGGCGTCGTCACAAAGAGTACGTACCTGCTGCCAATGAGCTATAATTTGCTTATAAATGTCTTCTTGGCTTATGAAATGCCATTCAAGCCGCTATCTTGGTGGCCTCAATGTGCCTACCTGTGGCATCTGTTGGGGACGCCGCCAGAGCTATTGAACCATTCGCATGGTCCCCTCGAGCACTTTTCTGAACCCCATTAATGCCATCGCAAATCTGTGAGACAAAAACTAACCAAACAAGGCTGGAACGCATCCAGACACAATTCATTCTTTGTCCTTCGCTTCTCCTGCTCTGGCAGAGGCTGTGATCCAGAGGCGGAGATTTTGCATGTGTTCCCTTTTCCAAAGAGCAGCCCCATCCCTTAACAACTAAAAGTAACGTAGGAAGCTATAAGAAACAGGTTGCCACCCAAAATGGCCATGCGTTGTTGGGTCTCTCACCTTTACCACAATGCACAATTTCCCCAGTGTTTTGATACTATTATGCAAGACTCTTACCTTGCCCCTGATAACAGCAAGCAATGATGCAATGGTGGTGTCTGGTGGGTGCATAGCTGTCAAGGCATGAGTTGAATTGTACGAAACATTACCAGGGGCTGCGCACAGTGTTGTTGCTTTCAGCAGCAGACTGTGTGTTCCGTGCAACATGCCTTCGCCCTCACGTGTCCCATTTTATAACACAGCCTTGTCGATTCCGCCACCAGACCTTCATAAGGATGCCAAGGTCGCTGGTTCAGAAAGCCTGCCACTTGCTTTTAATTTTTCTCGTTGAAGCGCCTACTCATTTGTGTCCTTAGTTTTATGTTCCGTAATGCGATGCTAATTTATTCAGCAATTACTCTCAACCTGCAGCACACAGATAATGAAGCATAAGGTCAAAGAAATATGATTTCCTTGTGATTGAAACAGAGGCAGGGAGCCAGAAGCAGCACTCCTAGGGGGTGGTGTCATGATGAGGTGGCATCCTTTTCATAATGCTGCCTTTAAGGGCCCGAGATAAGGGAGCTGCGCTGTACGACTCGCCTGTGATCTGCTATTAAAACCGGGCGCATCATAAATGCCACTGCAGTCTGGAGAGATTTTATGATAAATGAGGAGAAGGCAGAGCCCTTCCCTTAAATTGCTCATTTGTGATGCCTGAGAACATCAAGTTGAAGCAAACCCGTTCCGGTGCAAGGAAGCGCCATGGACTAACATTTCCCCACACTGGCCTATAAAACTACTGTCAGGGAACTGACATTGGAGCTAGAGGTGGAGGGAAGGCTCTCCAATGATGCTGGAGAAGGGCCCAGCAGGGAGAGAGGCAGCTCAGCAGATGGGGAAGCAATTCAGTGCAACACCAGGGATAAGGAGGGGCAGATGGGGGAAATCGGTGAGAGGGCTCCCAGACTCTTCACCGGACACCAGCGGGGAGAGCACTGGTCCTCCGCTACCCACGCCCTCCCTGCGCAGAAGACTTCCGCGCAGAGAAAGTAGGAGGAGACTGGGTGTCAAACAACTTTTATGTTGGAAAAGGTTTAAGAAACGCCCACTGACGGATTCTGCTAGCGACTGAGGCAGCCACGAATTGAAGGGCTGTCCAGACAGAAGGGTTTAACAAGGCAACATAGCCAGGAGAGGCGGCAACTTACACACGAGCAACCCCATACCATTATAACTACCTTTCCAGGATGGGAAATGTGGGCAACAGTGATTGGCTTTAGCTTCTTGGGGATAAAGATCTCCACGTAAAAGGCTTGTTGGGAAATTGGAATCACAAAGAATACAGTCAAACCTTGATTCCCAAACACCCCAAACCTGGAAGCAAGTGTGCCAGTTTTCAAACGTTTTTTGGAAGCCGAACGTCCGACACGGCTTCCAATTGAGTGCAGGACATTAACTTATGGTCTGTGTGTGTGGTTTGGGAGCTGCATGGTCAGGGAAAAAACAATGCTGGCCAGGGTTGTAAAGACTGCAGAGAGAATAATTGGGTGCACTCTTCCCACCTTGGATCAAATCTATGCTTCCAGGTGCCATAAGAAAGCTGCAGAGATAGTGCAGGATAGTGCACACCCCAGAAATGATTTCTTTCAGCTTCTGCCTTCTGGAAGAAGGTACAGGGTTATAAAGACTAGGACTAGCTGCCTGAGAAACAGTTTCTACCCAAATGCGATTTTGGTTTTAAACGCATTGTAATGAGTCTGTGTGGGAGTATATTGTATTTAAAAATGGGGTATCAAAGTTTTTAGGGGGCTCACCAGGTTGAGATAGCTGGGATAGCAGGGTTGTTGGGTTTTGAATGTCTTATGTAGATTTTTCAATTTCGTTCTTCTGTATGGGACAATGACAATAAAGATTATTGCATCATGTTGTATCGTATCGTAAGCTGAATGCGCTTCCGGAATGGATTATGTTTGACAATCGAGGTTTAACTATAGAAACTATACCTGTCCTCTATGTTCAGGGAGGTCCAAAGCGTAGGTATTGCCACACTACAATCATCATCATCATCATCATCTGGCTGGGTTTCCCCAGCTACTACAGCCCAGTTCCTACATGATACGGACAGACCTACTGATGAGTTGATGCCCATCTCGGACCCTCACCGACAGAACATAGTGACCAATTCAGTTTATAAAGGGAGAGGCAATTCTTTTATTCATAAGAAACAATCCCCTTGTGTCCTTAGGCAGCCACTCTCTCATCCCAGCTTTTTCTCCAGGGTAACTGTGGGAATAAAATGGGGGAGGAGAGATGTTTGGCTCCTTGAAGAAAGGACAGGATACGAATGTTCATTTAAAACCTTTTGAAAAGAATCAGCAATTACTTTTCGTCTGCACTTTTGTCTGCTAGGTAATGAAAATTGATTTAAGCAGAAAGCTGTATGTGTTCTACCAGCATTTCATTGAATTTATAAGGTCAGGAGCAAGTCACGCTCATTATTGCTGTGTCACTCGAGCATTTACGTATAAAAACGGAGTGTAGGCTATATATAATTACCTTTAAAACAACTCGGTCAAGAAATTAGTCTAATGGGGTTGGGAAAACATTGCTACTGTTGTCAACAATCAGGTAATAAAAATCTTTATTGTGTGTTACCGTGATTGAGCATCTTAACTTTTTTTATACTTGAGGTGATTCACGCAAATGTATTCATGGATTTGCTAGCGATACATATATTCAGCATTACAGAAGGGAATTTGCAAACATCCCGTCCCAGGGTGGGGGGATTAGCCGGGCTCCTAATGTGCAATGCTAGTGTACAACCAGGTGCAAATATGTACCAGTACTGAGGTGTCGATCTGGGCCTCCCTGAATTTTCGGACATAACTGTAGATGAAGACATGCACCCCCGTTCATCATGCATAGCACACAAGGAGGGCTGTGTACAGACTATGTCTTTAAAGCACATTTGAAGCACCTTATACCCACTCAAAGAATTATGGGCCCTATAGTTTGTTGAATTGTAACTTTGTGGGGTGTAAACTACATACCCAGAATTCATGGGGGGGGGAGAACATGATTTGAATGTGTTGTAAAGGTACAATAAATATACAGCCTAGAGTTTGGTTGGCATCTCTGTGAGGAAAATTAAATCTCCAGCTTACACAAACATACACTGCTTGAGTATGGCGGGAGGACAGACGGACCTCAAAGCTTATTTTAAAGCTATGTTTTATTATTACATTTTTGTATTGCATTAGATGGTCATATATAAGGTGTACATTCTTTGTTTTTTCAGCTTGTAAACCGCTTTGAGTATTGTAGGATAGAAAGCCTGTATACAAATTAAAAGTGATGATGAGTGATGAAAGCGGTTTACAAAAAAGATCAGAGAATAAAATCAAGAAAAATCTACAGCCATACTTTAAAACAGGCAAAAGTTAAAATACTGAAACAGATTAAATGATCTCCACTTTCTTAACCTCTTCTCTAAATAAGAACATTTTTAGCTGTTGCTGAAACGAGTACAGTGAAGATGCCTGCTTGATATCAATAGACAGGGAGTTTGAAAGTGTAGGCGCTGCCACACTACACAA